AAACTAAAACTGAAAGACCTTCCAGTGCTCTACAGTGCGACCATTTAACTACTGCGTGCGATTATGAAATAATATTTAGGAGCACCAGTGCGACTGACCCGATCAGCATATTTGTGTTTGCGCTGAGGGAGCTTCGAATGTTCTAACGTACTTAACGTGTTTCTGCAGCGTTGAGTAATGTATTAGATGTATCCTCTCATTATAACAAAGTGTTGACGGTGTAAATAAGAGATTCTTTGTGCAGTGTAGGGAGCTTCGTCGATTATAATGGAGTTTTGTGAGATTGCGATGAACTAAGATGAGTGACAGCTTTTAATGATTATTAAGCCGTTCGAACGAATCAATTGAATGAATGATTCAGTGATAAAATCAGTGACTTGCCGCCACCTGCTGGCAGTTTTAGTTTAATTTTTAAAGTATCTTTTCTGTTATTTAAATCATTTGATATTTCTATATTCAAAATTGTATATTTAAAACATTAACCTCAACATGAATTTATGAATTTAATTGCACCCATGCGACCTCTGAGCCTCATTAAACGTCTGAAAATACAACTACAAGCCACTTGTGTGTTCTTCTGTGCCAACTCTGTAACAAATTTATTTCTTAAATACTGATTTCATTTGATTGGTAACTTCTTATTCTACTTCTTATTCTACTTGTTTTTATTCTGTTGTTTTAATTAGAAATTAGCTTATTAATTAGCTTATAAATATATATATTTTTAAATTTGACATAAAAATGACATACTTTTAATAAAGTTAGAAAAATGTCATTACATTTTTCTGTATTGCTTTATTGCATTTAAATGTTCAGTTATTTTTGTTATAAGAAAAAAGTTATTAAACCTGTTATACTGTATTATGACAGCACTTTTTTTTAAACTTAATTTCAATATTGTGATAATACCGTATACCGTAATAAAAGCATTAGCAATTAATCGCAACATGAAAATTTGATACCGGCATATCCCTACACTTTAGACATAACTGACTATTCTTATGCGTATGCTCACCAAGTTTTATGCTCTATGCGTTTTGACAATTTTTTTGTATTTGTCTGCTTAAGTGCAAGAAGACACAAATGTTTCATTATTTCAGTCCTTATTGTTAGTCCCTGTTGTATTAATCTACCAGCTTTAATTATTTGCCTGTATTAATGCCGTTCTCAATGACTGAGTTCCAATACATTTTCTCTTTCTCTCTTAAGCTGCTCGTCTTGCTCCACAGCCCCAACCTCCGACCTTGCTTCCTCCCACATCATCTGTCCCTCCATCACAGCCTACCCAGCAAGCACCCACCCCAGTCCCAAACGCAGTCGT